TGGGAGAATGTGCTACATCTTCTAAGGGGCAGTGCAGCATGCGCACTTACCCTGTACCCCTGGCTCTCTGGAAGGGATGTTGTGGATGGCTCTGTAATACCCTCAATGCTAGCCCATGCCTTCAATGGCATGCTCTGGCCCACAAGGATCTGCTTGCAAAGCTGCGAATGGGAGAGTGTCAAAGAGAGGCCATCTAAGGAGCAAGGACAGTGTGATCCGGAGCTTTGTGTACGTAGACATTCTGAAGGACTGCTGTAAGTACAGCATGCAGAGTGGCATGACAGGGAAATCACTAAACAAAGAGCCTATGGGTTACCATTCATCACTCTGATGCTGCGTTAGCAGAGCTTTTCTGGAGTGCACTCGAAGTAGTTTGCATTGTTCGTGCCTCATTCTTTCCCAGTGCCCTTAGCTGCTGATGTTTCTCCTTTGACAGATCCTCAAGCTTTGCCCCAAGAAGAAAAGCGCCTCAACCTACACATTTTGCAAGTCAGTTGGCCTGTTGGGGATGCAGTTCCATCTTTTTGAGAATGAATGTAAGTCTGCTGTGGGCTGGCTCCCTGGAGGGGATAGGCAGGTGGCGCTGGAGGGAAGGTCCCTGCATCTGGAACCTCCAGTTGGAAAGGTTTCCATCAGCAGGGATTTGAGCATGCTGCCCAAACTGGGGGCTGAATTATTGCTGTATGGGGGCAGTGGGTTGGGGAGAAGTTGCTCCTACCCACTATCCCTCTCATTGCATCTGCACAGGAGGCAGCTAGAATGTGTCTGCTTGTCCCCCTGAGCATAAGAGGGGTATGGCTCACTCTGCAGCAAATGGGGGTGCAGCTGGCTGGACTGGCAGTATGGCCAGGACCACACACATAGCCAGCACCAGATGGAGACTGTATCAGATGGAGTGCACTCTTAGCAAGTGTGGCTGCAGAGCTTGTCCCCCCCCACAGGTATCACGTGTCCGGCTCTGCCTTCCACACCACTGTTGTTCAGGTGCTGCACCTCCTCCCACCACCCCAGAGGTGCCAAGAGACAAAACAGCTGCTGGAACGGCACCCACAAAAGCGTGGCACGAGGCCAAACCTCATCGGCTTGACCTTGCTGGTCTGGGAATGGAGCCATTATTTGTCATTATTTAGACTGGTTCCGTGGAGGAGGAGTGCCAGAAACACTCAGCGTAACTGATGGTGCTGGGTTCAGAGTGGGAGGAGATGGCAGCATTTGCACAAGCTGCTGCTGTAGCTAATTGATACTTATGGGCACCTGTGTGGAGTATGCCATGGAGAAGGGAGATGATAATAGTACTTAGCCCATCCTCAGTGCTCTTTGCAGACGCTATTTCACCCTCACAGCACCCCTGTGAGATTGGTACGGGCACTATGACTTGCATCCCCCTTGTACACATAGGGTGGTTGAAGCTGAGAGGTTAAGTGGCCCAAGGTCACAGAGGGGTGTCACTGTCAGAGCGGGGGTTAGAATTTAGGAGTGTTGTTGTTATTAATGTTAGTTACCATAGTGCCTAGGGACCAACCACGAATGGGGCCCCATCATGCTAGACTGGGCAAACACAGAGCTGATGGTCCCTGCCCCAAAGAACTTACAATCTCAATAGACAAGACAGACACAGGGAGGAGAAAGGGGTAGAACACACAGGCCAAGTGAACAATGGGATGGTGGCAAAGGGCATGTTAGTGCCACAATTGTTTGTTTATTTGGGTGGGTTTCGTTAGGAGGGGAATCAGCTAAATGGAAAGAAAAAGGAAGGGAGGGGCAGGGTGGAGCAAACAGCCACTCAGCACAGAGCAGAAAAAGTCTAATCAAAACTATAGAAAATTCTCTGGATGGCTGGAGGTCCCTGCTTTGGCTGCTTCTGCAGCTCTCCTACTGGCTGGAGTCTCTGGCTGGTTCCTCTCTGCATCCACTTTCATTCTCAGAACACTGGCCCTCATCTCTCTATGCTCTTTCTGCTCCCTTTGCATCTCCCCATCACATTCCCTACATTGTGTGGGAAAGAAATGAGTCTATCCGGGTTAGGGTGGCCACTCACGCATCCCCAGAATACTGGACAGGAGTGGCGTGACTCCAGCCTGGCCAGCAATACCTCGCACATGCCATGCGTGCAAGTTCATGCCAGCAGAGGCAGTGTGTGCTCTTCAAAATGGCATCCCTTGTCCAATACTGTCCACATCCTGTTTGGTCTCAGTACTGGACGGAGAACAAACCAGTGAAAAATAGGCCTGTCTGGTTTAAAGCTGGATGAATGGAGTATGTCTCCCGGTGCCCCACTTCCTCTCCCTGCACAGTGGGATCACCTCCCAGTATAGGTGGTGCCCCTTGCTGGCTGGGACAGAGAGCAGGCTATGACCCTTGTAAACCCATGTCTCCTTCCCTGCCATGCCCCCTGCTGGCTAGGACAGAGACCTAGAGTGAATTCCTGGCCCCACTGGAATCAATGGGAGTTTTGCAATTGACTTCAATGGTGCCAGATTTGTTCTGTCCCCTGCTGGGTGAGAGAAAGATTTGTTGCCTGAATGTAAGTCCTTTGCTCCTATTCAAACCAAATGCTCTGTACTGTCATGTCTCAGTCCTGAAGGTTCCCAGAACACATGGAACATACCAGAAGCGTAACAGTTATTATTCTGAGTGCTGGAGTTTCCTGCATGCTGAGCTGGTATTTAGTGGGGTTATTGCAGTGCTATGTCAGTGCCGGAGGTTGCTGGCCTCTGCACTGTACTGTAGTATTTGTGCTTGCACCATATTGGGCAGAGTCCTTTTTGCCGTGCTGTAATCTACAGAGGAAATGCAATCACATGGTGGTGGTGGCAAATACCAGTTACATAGTACTGTCAGTGACTGCAAGGGAGATGCGGCAGTTGTGTCTCGGGGCTGCAGGAGACAGGTCCTGTGCTGCACTATGAGACAATCCCCTGTACAGTCACAGCGCCTATGCTATAGGACAGCATAGGATCTGTGACACGAACAGTGCAGGTTCCCAGATGCTGCACTGTGCTACAGTACGACGATGCACTGCATCTTTTCATCCGTGCTAGAAAGTCTTGAATGTTGTGCTGTAGTGGGAGCGATACAGCCACATCTCAAGCAAGGGCTGGTGCTGTGAGGTCTGGGTTTTTCATTCTGTCAATCTCTGTTCATGTCTTGTTCTCAGATTACCCCCATGGCATCACCCTGGTGACTCCACTTTCGGGCTCAGACAAGAAACAGGTACTACACTTCTGTGCTCTGGGTTCAGAGGAAATGCAGAAATTTGTGGAAGATCTAAAAGAGTCAATAGCAGAGGTGATGGAGCTAGAACAGATACGAATTGAATGTAAGGCTTCCAGCGTGATCCAGACTCCATGCAGTCATCCTGTATGTATGTCCATGTGTGTTGGGGGGTTGAAGATCCCTTCCATGTGGGTGTATGTTGGAATATGCATGTGATTGTCCCTATGTATGTTCATACACAGAAATGATCTGTGAGTACCTGGGAAGGTTCTGTGGTATAAGCCACAGGTGCTGATAACCTTCATCATGTTGCATTATTTTACTCCGCGAGAGGCAGCATGACCCCGTAGACAGGGTACTGGACTGGGAGTTAAGAGACTTGGGTTCTGTTCACAGCTTGCTGGTGACCTTGGGCCAGTCACTGCACAGTCTGTGTTTTGCTAGATGAAATTCTATGGCCTGTGCTCTGCAGGTCAGGCTAGATCAGGAGGGTTCCTGCTGGCCTTAATATCTCTGAATGGATGAGTATTCCCATTGGAGTCAACTGTATCACTCATTGAGTAAGGTGCTACTCCCCGTGAATGTGGGTGTCAGAGTCTGTCCTCCGGGGGGGGGGGGGGGCGTTACGGGCATGTGCATACACAACATCTCTAATTCCTATTTCTTTCCTGTCTTCCTTTGCCTCTTGGTCTCTCCCTTCTTGTTTGTACATCTGCTCTTCTGGGTGACTCTCTGTTCTGTTTCTTTGTCTCACCTTCACTCTTGTCCCGGTCTCTCCCCATTCACTGTTATCCTTTTGACTCTCAGGGGAGCTGGAGAAGCAGCAGGGGGCAAAGACTCTTACGTTAAAGACCAACGGGGCTCAGATGGAACCACAGTCCAAGCAAGCATCTCCGACAGGTTAGAGGTCACTCTCCTTTGGGGGCCGACTGTGCAGCTGTTACTCAGACACTCACACACGTACTCGCGTTGCCTTCAGTGGGCGTGAGTGCTCAGCACTCTGAGTAAGGGCTGAGCCCTCAGCAAATAGTGGAAGTGACTTGGGCCTAAGTACTCAGCAGGTACCTAAGAAAATTCTTTAGAAGCCTCTCTGAGGGCCACCCCAACTGCACAATAGCCACAGAGAACCCATTGGAGGGGAAAGGCGTCAGACCAAAGTCCTCTGTTTATCCCAGGAATGGGCAATTGCACTATAAGCTCTTCTCACACCCTCCTACCGACCTGCCACGTCTAGGTAGCACAGGCTTCATGTTCATTCCTGGCTTGGCTTCTCTGCCACGACTGCCAATTAAGGCCAGACACAGTGATGATTTGGGTACCAGTCCACAAGAAACTGAGCTGGGATCAGCAGCTCATTTCATGTACCCCACCAAGTGGTTATCACATGAAACAACAATCAGTTGCCATCAGTCTGGGCTGGAGTTGAACCTCGAGGCTCCATAGCCCCTCCCCTGTCCCCTGAGCTGCCACTGCCTCACGCTATGCTCCTTCTCATGCCATGAGACGTAGGTTTCCTCACTGATAGGTCTGTTTTCTTTCAAAGGCAAGAAGGAGTTGGGGGAGAAGGTCTCAGATAGCACAGTGGAGGTAAGTAGAGCACAGAGCAGCTGAGGTAAGTAATTCTCTCTCACTTCAGCTCTTCTCACATTCTCTGTTGTTTCTTTTCTCAGGTTTTAATCAATGCCTCCCCAGCCAGACTGACAATTTTACCAATTTCCAGAGATACAATTAAAAGTTACTGCTAGGACGGGTAATACAACTTTCAAATCCAAACTAAACTTCAAAGCATTTTCAATCCGTCTTTATAACTGCAACATCCCTCATGGACCGAGCTCCCAAATGCCATAGACTAACCCACGCTGCTACTTAAGGGAAGACTGAGAACCCAGCTAAAAACTTGCCTGGACAGGCCACTGACATTGCTAACGCCATGCAGCCACCAGTGCGAACTCACCCGCAGTAACCTTCCCTGCAAACCTTGCCCCAGAGAGTCACCTTCCTATGCAGGGAGCTCCACTGTCCGGTTTGCACACATTTCTGCAGGGACTGCCAATTCCTAGCAGATACGCTTTCTTACGCAGAGACCCCCGTTACCTTCCAGCTGCCCATTCTCCCAGCATAGCTGTATCACCAAGGAGATCTTTCCTAAGTATCTTAGCTGCCCTCAACTTGGCCTTTCTCAGGGCAGTTCTATCCCCCGGCAGATGCCTCTTGCCATAGTGCACTCCATCCCTCTGCAGCTCTCAGTCCCCTTTGAGGGAAGAGGAAGCTGCATTTCCCTGCAGACAACCATTTCCTGAGGTAGGTGCTTTCAGTCCTCAGCTTCCAGTTTCTGCTGGGACTGATGTTTCCCTACAGCTCATTGCCTCAGTGAGTTGGGGTGCTGCTAGCACTTCAGGCCCTGCAGCCACTCTTTCCTAGGGGAGGCTCCATCACCTCAAAGATACCCATTCCTGAGGGAAGCTCAGTTACCCTGCAGCTTCCCATGAGAGCTCCATTCCTCGTAGACACTGGTTCCCAGTGGGTCGTGCCATCTGCCAGCAGACGTACATTCTGCCACCGTCCTCCACACACCTACTCTTGTGGGGAAGCACCAGCAACCTGCAGACACTTTTTCCCATGTCAGAATTCTGTCCCCCCCACCCAAAGTGACCCAGTTCTGGAGGCCGCTTCACTTCCTTACAGCCAATCAGTGCCCCGGGGAAGCCCAGCAGCCACCCATCCCCCCATGGGGAGCGCCGCTACCTGCAGCCATCCATTGGCGGGGAGAACTGTACTATCACCCAGTCCCCATGAGGGAGTCTTGTTTCCTCCCTGCTGCCAGCCAACCCCCTGTCTCCTCCCCCCCGGGGATCTCCATCACTTGGCAGACACCCATGGGCAGGGAGAGCTCTGCCATCAGCCAGTCCTCCCAGGACAGTCCCACTTGCTTCATTGCCCTGCAGCCACCCACTTCTGGGAGCCGGCCTGTTGCCCTGCCGACCCCTGTGCCCTGGGGGAGTTCCATTACATTTGAGCTCCCGTCCCATTTTCACTCTGGAATCAGTGGGTGCCCATACATGGGGGACTCTCTTCAGGTCCATGGAGACCCCTAAAGCCTCTCTTCCTTTCCCCTCTTCCTTCTGATCGCCCAGTAATTCGCATCAGCAGAAGAGCATCTCCATTTTCTCTGAGATTATCTAATCTGCTGCCATTTCATCATGCCTTTCTTTTATCATTGTACTAGCTAGATGGGTAATTTCTTTTAACTCATTTCCTTTCACTTACAAACCATCAAACGGATCAGCGGGAGCCGCAGTTTGCTGGAATATGTCAGATTTCTGCTTTTTTTCTCTTTGTAAACAGCTTAGCAAATCATGTTGTGCACCTTCCTGCTCAGGGAGATGGGGCGCTGGAACAGGCACGAGTCTCGCGCTGAGCCTCAGCCAATGTCATTTTGCAGAACTGTACAACCTTGATTATCTGAAACCCTGCTCACCAACCCGCCTGCCCTGCTTCCTGGAGCCAGGGCACAGCCCCCGAGGTCAATTCAATACAATGAGAATTCTCAGAGGCTCCCACTACCAGAACTCATTCACACGCCCCAGGAGGTTTGGATAATCAACGTTTGCATTGCATTTGGAAAGGCTGACCCTGCCTTTCATGTGATGGCAACAAGAGGGCACCTTAGTTCTAGCTGGGGCATGGGAGGGGAGATAGCTATTGGCCAGGGAGAGGGAGCTGTGGCTGGGGATCATGCTTTGGGTGGGTTATGGTTGATGCAAATGAGAGATTGTGGGGCTCAGGGCAGCCAGTAGTAGCAGATGGGAAAATGTCTTGTAACATTTAATGCTTCTTTGACTGTTTCTAAACTAGGTGTCAATTCACAACAGGCTTCAAACGTACCAGCACAACTCCGTCCTGGGGCCCGAGAGTGGAACGCAGGCCAGCACGCGTCCTAACATGCCACGGGAGAGGCTGGAGACAGCATTGGTACCCTCCTATCCCGCCTCGGCGGGGACACTTGTACAGTGCCAGCAGATTGTCAAAGTCATTGTCTTGGACAAGCCGTGCCTCGCTCGTATGGAGCCGGCCCTCAACCAGACTCTGACCCGCTACGTCTCCTCCGATTCCTGCAGCTCCACCCCGTTGCGCAGTGCAGGCAGCGGGCTCCAAGGGACCCCAGTGAAAATCATCCATCAGCCCCCACTTCCGCCTCCACCACCACCCTACAACCACCCACACCAGTACTGCCCCCCCAGTTCCCTGCTTCATAGGCGTAGGTACTCCAGTGGATCACGCAGTCTAGTGTAGCCACACCACCAGCACCACCAAACAGCACAGATTTTCCCCGGGACCCTTTCTGTCTACAAAGAGATCTAGTTTGGGATTTATTTTTTAGTAAAAGAGAAGAAAAACCAAGCCTGAACAGACCTAACTCCTCCCCATCTGCCCTGAGATGATGGTAATTGTGAAGAGCTCTTTATAGAAACTGCCAGTCCTGGAGCTCACACTTCCACCTGAGCCTCCCGCCCAGCCGATCACGCCAACTCACTCCATGGACCCCACCATAGTTCTTTGCCACCCTGCTCCCAGTGAGCTTGTTGATTCTCTGCTTTGTTTGCTCTGTGTCTTCTGTTTGCTATTTCGGCCCCTCTTTCTCCTCCTCACCCCTCTCCTCCACCTCGCCTGTCCCCTGCCACAGATTTTATCACACAAAACTTTGACGGGTTCTGATGGGAACAGACTCACCTTTCAGGGCACCAACTTTGGGTAGAGCATGGGTGGGGTGGGGTGGGGGGAGGAGCTACCGTCCCCAACACTGCTGCCGCCATTGCTGCCTGCTAAGCTGGAGCTGAGAACTTGTGAGACTCATCACATGCTTCCGCCTCACAGCCCTTTGGTATCTTCTCCTCTCACAGCAGCCAGTTCTGAGAGAGCGCGAGCAGGAGAAGGGGAGACTGTCCCAAGCTGTGGTAGAACCCAATGATGGCCTCACTTTGAACACCAAAATGCTTTCTGTTGTTAAATTGGGACACTGTACCACAAGAGCTTTGCTGAGACCCAGCAGAACTCATCACATGTAAATACACCTGTGTGGTAGAGTATGCTCGGCGCATGCTTAGGAAAGGAAACACCAAGTTGTTCTGGGGGCACAGAAGGGAGAGATTAGCTTTCTGGGGGGGCTGCTTTCTCAAAGAGCTAGCACGGTCTGGATCCAGGGTGCTCGCGCACAGACAAACACACGGGTGGTCTTTTCTGGCACAAAGGAGTATGCTCCCACACCTGGAGGACTCCCTCAGCCCCAACTGCACCCATGTCCTCTCCAAGCTGATTTTGTGTCTCCTTCTCACTGGAATTTGTGCTCTTGAGAAAAAGCCAAATGTTAAGTTCACCTTCTGGGATGGAAAATCCCTTCATTTGGTCCTTTCCATTCAGTGTTGCACGGAGGGGGATGTTTGGAGCCAACCTTCCCGACAGCCTTGGGGACTCACGCTTTAAACACGGCCTCCTGCTTGGCTAGTCTGTTGCCCCCACTTAAAGCTCCCTTATGGGAATTTGGTCCTGTCCTCACACTCCCACCCTTTGCACACACTGGGATCCCTCCCCCTCCCCCTAAGCCAACTTTCAGCGCTCCAGAGGGAGATGACAGCTCAGCTCCTTTCGCTTATCGGTCACACTGACATGCAGAAAGCCGGCATTAAAATGGGCTAGGGCTGTATTTTTAGAAAAAAAATCTCCCCACGCAGCGGGGAGGAGCAGGTATTAATTAGCTTAAAGGCTTTGGTCTCGCTCGCTCGGCTTAAGCAGAGCAACTTTAGAATTTGAAAATAGGGCAGAACAAGTTTTAGGTCCTTATTTTAGATTTTTAAAAAGTGTGCGAGAGAGAGAGAGACGATTTTTCCTTGCCACGTGTGGCTGAGACATGGGAGCCCGGTGCTGGCTGGTGACACCGCAGTTTTCTTGTCGGTCACCTGGAGGTGCAGGATTGTGGAGGACAGTGCTTGATTCATCAGGGAACGTAGGGTTGAGTCAGATACAGGAGGGCTTTTTCCCCAGTTGGCTCCATCCCCTTGAGTTCAGTGGGGCTATTCGCAGAAGCGAAGGCTGTGATCTGTCAGGCCCTGCATGTCGGGCTGTCCCACATCCTTTCACATGTCAGTGGGCTCTGCCAGGACACTCGACTTGAAGGGCTTGTGATCATCCAGGGTTTGAACGGGATCAGGATGAAAAAGTTTCTGGATCAGGGTCATGAAAGCCCCACGCTGTGGGATGTCAGCCTGACTCCCAGGCAGGGTTGCGGGGAGACACGCTGTATTTCGCTGGGGCACCCAGGACCGTGCCTAGGTATTGGCAAAAAGCCTGGTAACAAGCCCAGCGCTTGCTGCTCTATCCCCACATTTGGAACACACATACACCCCGTTTCAGTGAGCGTCCCGTGTACACACACATGCAGATGCTGCTTTCTTGGCTTTGTTTTTCTGTCCGAAGCAGGATGTAATGCCTCCGCTTTTATACTTAATGCCAAATACAGATTAAAGGGAAACAAACAGGCACCACGCAGAGGATGCTTATGATGAGCCCTCCCAGTCTGTGGGCAAGGCAGGGGCCTGGAAGCTGGTAAGGGCCCAAGATTAGGAAGCTCTTGCTCCTGAGAAACTGCCCCCGCCCTTTAGTGGGACCAGTTTTAAGGCCCCCTCCTTTGCAGTGCTGAGCTTTCACTGCGGCCAATGTTACATGGCCTGACTTTCAGCTCCCCTCTCCTGCAGCGGGCTGTGAAATGCAGACTGGTTCCCATGCCCTCTGGCTTTGTAGTGAGGAGTAGGTGAGCCCTTCCAGACTAGCTATAGGCAGGCTTTCGTTTGACTGGGCCTTAGCTTACTGGGAAATCCTACAGGTGGAATTTGCCATCTCGCTGCCAGCTAGCAGTTAGTAGCATTTTATTTTTACCCACTGCTGATGTGGAGATGACAGTGTCTAAGCATCTCTGGCAGTTTTCTTCCTTCTCCAGGCTTATTCTCCCAGCCTTGAAGGAAGGCTGATTTTTCCCAGAGTTCATTAAGCCAGTGAAGGTTTGTGTGTGTTTAAATAAATTGGATTTTATTTGACACTTAACACAAAGTGACAACAAAACACCTTAAAGTAGTTGATGAAATAATTATTTTAGATAAAATATTCATAGCAAGGTGAAGTTCCTAGAAGAGAGATTTGCATTATTAATAATTAATTGGCGAAGTTAAGACAACATATAAAGCAGGAAGCTTTCCTGAGTCTGAGTCCTTCCCCCCACCCCCTTAACACTGGATAAAGGACTCCTCAGTTCATAGGCTTTAAGGTCAGAAGGGACCATCATGATCATCTAGTCTGGCCTGCACATCACAGGCCACAGACCTTCACCCACCCACTCCTGCACTAGGCCTGTAACCTCAGGCTGAGTTATAGAACTCTTCAAATCTTGATTTAAAGGCTTCAAGTTACAGAGAATCCAGAAGCAAGCTAACAGTAGGGCTAGGATTGATCAATACATGGGGTGAAGGAGTGTAGTAGGGTGAGGGAGCTCCACTTCCCTGACCTACCAAAGACTGCTTCTGGTATGGAGATTTGGTCAGGGAAGCAATCACATACCATACCACCTCCTCTAGTTGGCTTCTACACTGCTGGACATGCAGCCTGTTTCCGTGAAGGTTAATTGGCAAGGGTTATTTGGTTTATTCCAGGATTTTCCTTTAGTAGAAGGGGTTGCTTAAAATCCATTGTGTAGTTGAGCCCTCTGGGACTGTGACCAGAGACCCTCTGCTGATTTTCCTTTGGGTTCATCTAAGAGAGTTACAAGCACTTTAAAATGTGTATATACACCATCTGTCCTATTGTACTCCAGTGCCCCACTACTCTCCATCCACAGATGGACAGACACACACACTCAGTATACAGAGTAGCAGCCGTGTTAGTCTGTATCCGCAAAAAGAAGAACAGGAGTACTTGTGGCACCTTAGAGACTAACAAATTTATTAGAGCATAAGCTTTCGTGGACTACAGCCCACTTCTTCTTCTTATGCATCCGAA